ATTGTTGTCTTAGGAAATCAGAACTAATAGATTTTATTTTTTACTTTATTTAAATATTTAAAAAAAATTCCATAAAATATTTTTTTAATTTGTAAAAATTTTAAAAAATTAAGAATATTTTTAAATTTAAAAAAAAATCCAAAACAATTTCAAAATGCAACTAAGAATATGATATTGACATATTATTTGTTAGAGATGATCTAAGAACAACAATATTATTATTTATAACAATTATGAATGGTAGTAATCATTAATTACCACCATAAACTTTTAATCCAACATGTCTACAATTGGTATTTTGTATGTATCTTCTATAAATATATTTGCTCCGTTTTCTATATTTTCTGATATCATTATGTTTCTAAATAGTTGTATTTCACAGTTGAATGATTTTTGATATTTTTTTGTTCAAAACAAAAAAAGTTAGGTTGTGTTTAGTGTGAGTTTCAAATGAAGTTTTTATCCTTATATTTGAATGTTGTATTTGGTTTGAGTATTCACATTGTGATTTCAAATCAATTTCAAAATACATTTTGAAAATATGTTTGGTAAACCAGATAATTTTTGAATTTTTGGTCTACCTGGATATCCGGCCGATCGTCCGACCGGTGGATCGGAATAGTATTTTTTATTTTTTTTTACAATCGTTAATCGCCACCTGTTATTTGGGAAAAAATAATGTGTTTGATATTTTTTAAATATATAAATTATTTTTTTAGACCAAAATGACAAATTATTTTTTTGAATTGAATTTTAAAAAGAGCTTGGTTATGAATTTTGAATAGTTATTTCAATAGAGTTTTGAATTGTGTGTTTGGTTATAAGTTTTTTAATTAAGTTTTGAAAAAAAAATTCAAAATTCATAACCAAACAATTTTTCTCATTTCATATGTCATGTCAAAAATTCAAAACTTATAACTAAACAAATTTTCTCTTTTCAAATAATAATTCCAAAACTCACACACTCAAAATACAATTCTATTCTCAAATCATAATTCTAAAATTCTATCAAACGCTACCTTAAATTTTGTTTAAATGAATGTCGTTTTGAATTTGGGCAATGAATGGTTGAATGATTAAAATGGCAGTGTATATTTTTTAATGGTTGCCTGTATATATAAATTTTATAGTTAAATGATTTTTGATGTTTTTTGTTAAAAAAAAGGGTTAAATTTCGTTCAAATGAATATTTTTTTGAATATGGGCAATGAAGGATTAAAATAGCAGTGCATATTTTTTAATGGTTGCTTGTGTATATATAAATTTTACAGTTGAATGATTTTTTATTATTTCTATTAAAAATGTGGGGGTTAAATTTTGTTCAAATAAATACTTTTTTTGAATTTGGGCAATGAATGGTTAGATGATTAAAATAGCAGTATATTTGTTTTAATGGTTGGTTATGTATATATAAATTTTCTAGTTGAATGATTTTTTATTTTTTCTATTAAAAAAAAAGTGGGTTAAATTTTGTTCAAATGAATCGAAATGGATGTGGAACAACAATTGGGAAATTTACTTTTAAAATTATGACACATGCTAGTGCAAAATTTTACAATAATTATAATAGGAGTATTATGGTCAATATATTGAATGTCATATATCCTGTCATGTCCTATCTATTCCAATCCCCTTAAACAAACATCAGATTAGATAATATTTTGTTAATCTCTCCTTATAATCCAAACTCAATCCAAACATATGATAAGATACACAATCCAAAGGGATTCATAGTCCCAAGACTAATAATCTTAGGAATGCTAATCTAACATAATCCAATCCATCCAAACAAACATGGCCTTTCATCACTATAATTTAACGCGGAGTAAATTACACTGATACCTGGGGATTTTGTTTAATATACATCTCTTTACATTTGAAATTTATAATCTCATTATAAATTATCTTTTGAATTGTTGATGTCATATTTTAAATTTTTTAAATGACCATCTTGTCATTTTTCCTACCATTTCTTCTTTCCATCATCATGATTACATTCTACAACTTCTTATTACTGAATTCTACCTGAACATATTTTTATCGAGTGATGATATAGAAACATAAATTTTATATAGAATTTTCAAACACAATAATATAATTTAATGGTGACCTTTCACTTTAAAATAAAACACTCATAAACATGATTTATATTTACAACAATGGCCCCGTTTGATAGAACTGTGGGAAAGTGATTATAAATTATAACTTACAGCTGTGAACATAAGCTGGTAACCTGTTTGGTGCAGCTATGGGATCATAGATTTAAGCAGCAAAGTAGTTTTTGGTAAATAAGTTGTAAAATAGTTATTTGTTATGTAATTGTCATTTTTACCCTTATGAACATAAAAATTGTAATTCTTTTTGTTCTTATTTTCTTCTCTTCTTTCTTTTTCTTTCTTTTTTTCTCTTCTTTCTTTTTGTTAATTTTGTTTAATTTATTAATTCATTACAATTAATATCAATTAATATCCATGTATTTATATTAATGTTGTGATGTTTTTACATATAATTTTTCTTTATATTAATTTCAATTAGTTATTTAATAGAAGTTATAATATTCATTTTTTTTATTTCATTTAATATAAGTTATTTCATTTTGTATTTCATTTTTTTTCTTCAATTTTAATTTTTTTTAAAAAATTGTGATTCTGTTTTCATTAAAATTTTTTCATTACAATTAATAATATAGCAATTGTCATTACAATTAGTATTAATTAGTATCAATTAATATAAAAATTGATACATTTGATAAAACTATTTCATTATAAATTAATTAGTGTCAATTAATGACTTATTTTTATTTTTTTCATTATAAATTATTATTTTCATTTTTCCATTATAAATCAATTAGTATAAAATTATTTCATTATAAATTAATTAGTGTCAATTAATGACTTATTTTCATTTGTTCATTATAAATTATTATTTTCATTTTTTCATTATAAATTAATTCGTGGCAATTAATGGCTTTTCGTAATCAATTAATACTAAAATTATTAATTTTTGTAATCAATCCATTTTAATAATTAATACTAAAATTATTAATAATAATGGCTTAATTATTATTTTCTTTTTTAATAAAAAAATATTGAAAACCTCTAGGGAAAAAAAAAGAGAAGTGAAAACCCTAGCTGGCAGGGACATTAGTTGTGGTTCACTGGAAAGGGATGGGGATGGGAATAGGGGACGACGACAAAGGTACAGCGGCGATGTGACAATCGCGATCGCGATCGTGAAGAGAGAGACAGAGAGAGATCTACCGTGATCTTCCACGAACAACGCTGGAGAGACAGAGAACTGCCATGATGGCGAAGAGAAAGAGAGATCCGCCGCGAACAACGCTAGAGAGAAAGAGATTTGCCGCAATCGCGAACACACACACAGAGCCACTTCAAACACACATGCACACACACACATATATACATATATAACAGATCTAAAATCTATATGGATTTGAGGCGACATTTCCACCCTCCGAACTCGAGATCGACAACGAAAAGCCCAAGGTACGGCGCCATAGATGTAGTAGATAGATAGAGAGAGAGAGAGAGAGATCTAATTCATGTTTCTACGAGAGAGAGATCCCTGGTTCGTCGGAAATCGCTCGAAATCGCCAAAAATCGCCAGAAAGTTTCGTGCAAGAGACAAAAATGAGTGAGTTTTGATTTATATACATGGTACACTTGTAATTACTTGAAATTGTGAGGGGCATTTAAGTCATTTTGCCCCTCAAATTGTAGTTGCTCGATCAAGCTAATTGAAAAAGCTTCTCCTCTCTCACTTAAAGAAAAAGCTGATTTTTGACTTAAAAAAAACTATAATCTTTATTATTAAACTGAACCAAACACACCAAAATAGCTTAAATTAAGCTAAAAGCTGAAATAAATTGAAAATAAAACCTACCAAACAGGTCTAATATCACTATCACAACATTTTTATAATATTTTTTTGTATAAATTTTTATATATGAATATGATTTTTCATTTTATTTCCATCATTATATTTAGATTAGATCAATTTAATCTAAATATATATAAAAAGTATAAATTTGAACAAAATTTTTTTTTAAAAAAAAACCATTGAATACAACAAAATAAGACAATATATTGAATTTTTTATTTTTATATTTTTTTGTATTTGGTGAATTTAAAAAAAAATCACAAAATATTATACTTCTTTGGTATATCTAAAAAAAATTTAAAAAAATCTTAAAATATTTAAAAAAATTCAATAAAAATATGAAAAATAAAATTAAAAAAATCAATTTTTTTGCATAAGTTAAACTAAAAGAGATGCTTGTTATTTCCCTTACAATAACATAAACAAAATATCTGTGTTATTTAATTATTTTATATGCATAAAAGCTAAGAAGAAAATATGTCATTTTAATCTAAAAAGATGATAAGTATAATTTTTCAAGTGTAAGGGAAACCTCAAGGGGTAGTGTAATCTACCCTTTAATGTGTTATGTGATTTTTGTTATAATTACTTTGAACTAAATCTAAACATGTGATTTTTTACAATCCAATAAAACTTGGCCAAGATCCAAAACCGAGCATAGCATCAAGCATTCTTTTAGAAAAGGGCAGATCAACTCTTTCAGGTTCATAGCACCATCTCCATCAAAAATCAAAAAACCAAAATATAAAAACAGAAACATTTCCAGGAGTATTTCAAGCTTCAGCAGAATCTAAAAGCAAGAAGAGTTTTGTTCTGCCGGCAAATGCTCAAACATGGTCTCTGGATGTCACAAGGCAAACCATGCAATTTCCAGATTAAAAAAAAAAACCCTATAGCAGCATTACAAAACCGATGCAGTTTCCAAAACATGTTACTTATATGTGCAGAAAACTAATTAACAACAAATCAATGCATTGTCATATGAATTAACAGTGACAAACAAACAATAACATATGACCTGTGACAAGTTACCGATGAATGGTTTAGATATGACAGGAAAGACAAACATGGACCAATAATGAGGGATAAGTATGAAGAAGGAAAGCAGTAACCATTTCACCATGTAACAAGAAAACAAAATGGCACCATACTTGTAAACATTTGGGAAATTACAGCATCAACTTACTCCCCATGAACTCCACAGATAATATGAAAAATCAGAAGGCATATAGCTCTGAGAAAATTATTTCCTCACTTTCTGCTTTTTAGTGATATAGTAGTATTAATAACCATTGCGGTCATTTTGAGACATACGCAAAAGCCTGAGACAGGTTTTGCTGCTTATTTACAAACACTATCATATGCAGATGCAACCACAGCAAATTTTTTTTTTTTTTTTTTTTTTTTAAAAAGAATCAAAAGCTAAAAGCATGGGGTACCTGGCAACATCACTATGAACTTGCACCAAACACACGGATTCTTTGTTCAATTGGTACCCGGCAGCATGGACATGTAGCTTTTCCCTTCTTCCCATACTCATCATTGCAATTGGCACACAGAACTTGATGAGCACACGGCAGAAAAACAACAGAAACTTCATCTTTCAGGCAAATTAAGCATTCCCTATTGTAGCCAACATCTTTATCTGAAGAGTCCTCCAATTTATCTAAATCATGAAGCATTCTAGCAATAGTTTCTCCTTGGGGCTTCACCCCCTCTGAATTAGTATGATGTAGCTCAGTGGACTGCACAGGCGCTTTAAGTCGTGCCAGTTCTTGCTCAAGTCTTTGGAGATCATCCTTTTGACGCTGGAAGTCTATCTCAATCTTTAGACGCAATGCCTCATGCTTTCTCTTATTACTAGCCTCAGTTGCTTCCTTGAGGAGCTGTTCCTCCTCCACTTGGGCTAAGCCTAACTCTTTAGCCTTCTGCTCCTGCCTCCACTTTTCCTGCCGTGGGAATTGAATCAAGTCAATCAGGGTTTTAAATATCAACCATTACGTATCTTATCAGTCATTACGTATTGAGATTTTGGACTTCCGATACCGTTATTCACAAATATATCTGCCGATACTGTCCAATATTGGACGATATATGATTGTATTGCCAATACTGTTACCTATTGATACAGTTATTTAGAACCATGTGTCAATTGTTTGCTAGTGTGTATGTGATGACTCGTCATGTACCTCCTTAAGACAAAAGATGAATGGCAGACTTTAAAAAAACCTCTAAGTTACTTAAAAGTGCAAAGAACCGCTCAACTGAGGTGGCTCGATTTTGCACAAAAACAAAGTTGCTGCGAGTTTAGGATCCAAAGAAAAAATAATTTGAAGACCATGTCCATAACAAGTTCGAGGAAGCATGCATAAATTTATATTTAGGGTTTTAGAGAGTAGACCTATATTAATACCAAAGAGTTTTAATTGCAAGGCACTATTTTATCATCATTTACAAAGCTAGGGGCGGTAATCATCCTCAATGGACAAAAGTTTCAACTAATCGTGGACAACATTCAAGGAAACTACCTAACTAGGATGGAGATCTTGAAATTATAAATGCAGAAAAAGTGTGAGTACAGGTAAAAGGCTATTGAAGGTGCACTTTAAGTGATTTATGAGTTGGCATCTATTCAAACAAAGAGTTGACTACACATTGTGGGCACATATAAAAAGAGCAATGCCAATGTTGAGATGTCTAAAAGAGGAGAAGGGTCGAGTGAAGGACTAGGCCTTAAGAAAATATTCAAACTTACTGTTTTCCACTAAAGCAATTGTAATGGACAACATCTTTGCATATCACCCAAAAAAGCTGTGGCACAAGCTAAGATGAAAACACGTCTTTGAACAAAAGTGCAGCCAGTTAAACCAAATTTTCAAGACAATAATTACAAACAAACAATGAGTTTCTAGAAGTATCGACACAAACAAATCCTCCACAGACACATGAGAAGAAGAAAAATGGTCAAGGCCAAAAAAATAGAGGCACTGGTGCAACAATTAATCCACTAATCTCCTCAACTGAGAACAACACTTTTGTAATTTGTTTATGCTTTCTCTACCTAATATTTACTTCACAATTGCTTTAGAAGAAAATTTCACAATTTTAAGTATTTCTGATCCAGAAAAGGTGTTTGGCTCACAAGTTGCAGTAATGCCTGCCATGAACAGTGCATAGATAAACACTGACACAAATGATTAACCTCATGAAGCGTGCCATATTTCATGTACCCTGCACACACCATTCAAGCATCTTGCAAACTCAACATGTCATTTAATTCACAGTTGACCTCTCAGATGAAAACAAACACTAAACTCAAACACCATTATATGTAAGTTAAACTCCCTCCAGCATTACTAAAAAAACACTGATACCCTATGGTACACATTCTTTCCAAAACATTAAATTTAGTGATCCAAAATGATCTCAAAAGTTTTTTCAATATATTCCCTTTCATCAAGTATCATGTACTAAAATCTAAGGTGAGAGAAGTTTTGACATCACAAAACATCAAAAAATGGGTCACAATACTCGTATAAATGTGTCACTACATGATTAATTTGGAAAAAGAATCTACATTTTATAGGATGTCTTGTTAAAAAAATAACCCTAGACTAGAAGTATCTTAAATTTTTATAGTGTAAACTATACAAATCTATCCTTATCGTACCACAATTTAGAGCATTGTGGCATACCGCATTCCCGTTCCCATTCCACGTTCAAATAACATAGCTCCTAGCAAGAAGAAGAACAAGAACATACAAAGAAAGCAAAACTAAAGCGGTAGGAAGACTCTGAACAGTGCAACTGCTACATGCATCCGAAAATGTTACCAGTGTCAAAAAACTTCTTTTTGTAGTAAGTTCCCACTATCTGAACTGCTTGAAACCATAAAATGTATGAACATATCACCAGTGGCCATAGTCTTGAGGAACCTTGTTGTCAACTGGTAATTGTACAATAAAGTGATAAATTCTAGCACTCATTTCTTAGAAAGTATAATACAACTGTTGTGCATTAATATACATCTGTAGAGAGATTGATAGAAGGATAATTTACGAACCTCAGCCTCCTTTTTTGCTGACTCATTCTGAACCAACTGTTTCTGCAACTCCGATATCTTCTGTTTCTCTGCTGCAATTTCCTCCTGGAACTTATTTTTCTGCTTCTCCCAAGCCAAAAGCCTCTTTAGGCACTTTTTCTCCCGCTTTGCAACCTCCAAGCAAGTTGTGACCGATTCTGATGCATTTAACTTGGAAGCCTCCATCTCTGCTCGAATTTCTGCATTCTGAGTCTCAAGCTGCCTCACGGCTGCATTTGCACGATCCACTTGACCACTTGCCTTCCTTAGAGCATTTTCCATATCCGAAAGACGCTTCATAGTTTTGTCCTCGAGGGTCTGCTTCCCTTTCTTCACTCGTTGGCTCTCCTCCCTTTCCATCCTTAACATCTTCAGCTCCGTCAGATCATTGCTGAGCTTCCTTGCAGCTTGCATAGCCTTCTGGTGGGCCCACTCCTTCCGCTCCTTCACCTGCCTCTCAAGATCCTTAATCTGATTAATTACACTTAAAACCATCTCGTCTTTCTGATCTTGTGGCACATACTCCATATTCTCATCAAGATTCAAATCACGAAATTTATTCAACACAGTATTAACCACATCTTGGTTCTTTGCATGTGGGATCTCCTCATTCTGCTCAGTTGGAACTTCAGCCCCAGATACAGCTGCAGTTGATGAATCTCCACTTGACAAAGAGCTGACGCTAGCCTGAGATTGCGTCTGCAACTGTTTTGAGTTTGCTCTAAAGCCTGCAGCAAACATTGCAACATTCCTCTTCAACAAAGTCTTCATTGAAGGAGTAAGATTGAACCTCTTTGGACACTCAATCTCTTTCTGCAAATTCATTTCTGACACATATGACAAAAACCCATTAACAGGAAATTCAGAAGTACCTCCATTTCCAAAACCCCAACCTCCATGAAACCTACATAATGCTGGGGCAACCCCAACTGGATTGTTACTAACATTTGCTACATTACTCAGAGAAGGACCGCTACATCCATTGTTATTAGCCGAGGGAAGAACTGGAATTTCCATCACACTCGCTCGACCCACATGAAGATCACTCATCAGGAGACACCACATAGCATCCCCTTTAGTCAAATGGGGTTTAACTTGTTGTAACAAGCACACGATAGCTGCTAAAGAGTACTCCTCCAACTGCCTCAAATCAACAAAATTAGGCTCAGAATCCTCAGAATCCCCACAATCACCACCACAGTCACTATTCAAATAAGCTAAAGAGTTGTGCAATATATTAGTCAAGACATCCATTCCACCATAGCAATGCCCATTCCTCAATATAGCTTTGAGGGCAACATCCTCATCATATCCCAACCCAACAAGCTTTGAAATAGCTTCATTGTACAAAAACTCCAGGTTCTTCAACAGTATCTCCTCTAATTGCTCTTCAGTACAGTACCCCCAATTACCATCATCAAAATTAGGGTTAGGGTTAGGGTTTGAGTTCTGAGTCGATTCGATAACACCCATTTGGTAATTCAATGGTTTGATACCCGATTCGATTACGGTTCTGTCCGTGAGATTGGTGTGATCGATATCGGGTTTTACAGATCGAACCCTCCGATTGGTTCGGATGTGTTTTTCTCTTACGGTACAACCCATTTGGAATTTCAAAGAGAAATGTATAGATATGAAGAAAGAAGCCTATAAGAAAGAAGATAAAGAGTGATCAAGATTATTATATGATATTCAGATTTATCTATACATATAAATAGATTGTGTAATATATACGTATATTCAGATAGAATGAAATGAGAGAAAAAAACTCACAGATTTTGTTCAAGATCTGGGTTTGATTATGGCTTGATCAGCTGAGAGAAATCAAATTCAGAGAGATAGAGAGAGAGGGGGGGAGAGGAGAGGAGAGGAGAGGAGAGATGGCAGTGAGAGTCCTTCAATGCCTTATCTATGGTTTGGGAGGGTAATTGGGCCGGAAGCAGCTTATTTTCATGGGCTGGACAGTCCAGTTGGGCCCACTATGCCCATAATCTGATCCATTTTTGTAAAAGAAATTAACTTTTAAATTTTAATCATATTATTTCATTATATTTAGGAAAATGAGTGAGAGCACTAATTAGTGCTACCACTAATGATGTGGCAGTGGGTCCCACCATGAATGATTTGATATTTTGGCCTTGGTGTTGTATTTTTTTTCTTTTTTTATTGAGTGCCATGTCATTAGTGGTCTTTTTAGAGCTCCAAAATTAGTGGTCTCTATCATTGTTGTTATATTTATTTTTATAACAAATTTATAGTTTATTTTCAAACTCATTTTACTATCTACATTTTAAATATATAATTACAATTATCAAATCAATTTAGTTTTTCATAAATTATTTATATACATAGAGTTACAAATTTGGTATAGTTTTGTCTCCAAAGCCGGCCGGAGGTTCTGTGGGCCTATTGCAGGACTCACCTTAATTGTAAGCACACTAAGCACATTATTTATATAAAAAAATTGAATATACCAAACAGCTGTAGACACATGATGAAGTTTTATTTGTCTACAAAATAATGATGATTTATTCTTAAAATTATACTCGTCGATCATTGTTTTTAAAACAAATAAGGTTTAATTATGTGACTAATTATTTGATTAATTTAATTTTTTTTTATGAATAAAATCTTATAGTGTTATTTAATTAATAAATCAACTTATTAAAGTAGAAACTGGACAGCCCAATCCAATCCACCATCACGATGGATTGGAAACGATTGGGCCAAGCCCTGGTTTGCTAAAGACACAAAACTTACTGGTGTGAGCCATACAAGAATCGATTGGGGCATTCGATTTGAACCTAAAAATTATTTCAATATGCTTTAACTTAAATTTTAAAATTTTAATTCCTATTATATTGTGGGTGTTTGGAAAGTGGATTTTCTTGAAATTTTTTGTAATTTGAAATTAGTTTGTGTATTTAGGAAGATGAGATGGATTTTTTAGAGATTATTGTATTTGGAAAATGTGTTTAAAATGATAGTGGAATGTAAATTGACAAAATTGCCCCTATTGCTAATTGCAAATATTTTTTTTGGTCCACGTGGCCACCATTTATACCAAATTGCAAATTAAAAGCAGAATTGACACGTGGCCACCGTTGCAACCTGTCAAAACACATGGTGCAAACAATTGTTACCAAAATATTAATTAAAATGAATTAATTAATGAAGTTGTTGTTAGTTTGCCATATTAACATTAATTAAAATTTTCATTTAATTGAAAATTGTATCTATTTCTCCAGAAAATAAAAAACATTTGTTTGTCAACATTTATTTTAATTTTCACATGTAAAAATTAATTAAAATTTTGTTTGGTGTAGTGAATTTGCGCAAAAAAAAAAAAAAAAAAAAAAAAAAAAAAAAAAATCACTTTCTATCTCCCATACATCAATCAATCACTTTTTCTTACTCCTATTTCCTTCTCAATCACTTTTTCGTTCAACACACATCTATTCAACAACAATAAAATTATTTTCACAACTCCTGCACTCCAAAATTAGTTCGAAAATATACAACCAAACAAACCAACTAAATTTCTAAACTCTTTCTCCATAATTAATTTTCAAAATTTATCTCTGAAAACAAAACCAAACAATTCCTAAGTATTTATTCGAATATTTTGTTATTCCACAATATTTGTATCTTCTAAAAAATTAATGAAAAAAATACTACGAATTTTCTATTTTGATTTATCTCTGAAATTCATTAATACTACGAAATGTACAATGAGTTTAATTGATTTTTTTTTTTTTTAAATACAATTTCATAAAGGGGAAATGGTGATTTTCAGATAATTTAGTTACGTAAGAATTTTTTTTTTTTACAGAAATAGACAAATGTGGTTATCAAACTAGGGTGGTTTCCTTATAGAAGCAGTTAATAAAAATAAAACAAAAAATTACAATACATTTAAATAGTAAATAATAAGATGCAGTACTTCATAGAAATTTAAATTTGCAACACACTTGCATTGTCCTTACACGAATTACAAATTTAAATAATTTGTTACAGTCACATTGCAATGTAGAAATAGAAATTACAAATTACACAAACACATAAATTAGATAACAAGCATTTCACAATAGTCCTTGATTCCGTATGTGAAACAAAATGGTCACGGATGCGCACGTGAACTCTTGCCATATCTACATCTGTATCCCCAACCATGAGGCCATCATCTATATTTTGTCCTCCTTCCATGGCGGGCATGTCATCTGGAACAAAAGAACATCTAACATGTTCGTTGTGTGCATTAACAGCTATCTCGTGCCTACGGATGAAATTGTGTAAGGCCATTGACGCACTAACCAATGGCACTTGCACCGTCGCAAAATCATAATCGGGCATGTCGTTCAGGAACTTCCACCGCGATTTCCACACTCCAAATTTTCTTTGCACCACGCTCTTCAATGATGTGTGCGCCTTGTTAAATAATTATCTTGGGTTATTGGGTCGTCCACGATCCCAGAACTGTGCTTGGTGATACTGAGACCCTTTGTATGGTACCAAATACCCCTTCTTGTTTGGATATCCTACATCCACAAGGTAATATTTACCTACATTTGGTCAATCAATTTAAGATTTTCAACAAAATTAATAATGAGTACTTAATTTAAAATATGTTACCTTCTTGGGGGTGCGGGAACAATGCATGTTTGTTCTTAATTATTTCGTTGAAGATGCGACTGTCATGCATGCATCCTTCCCACCCACAAGATATGAAAATGAAGCACATGTCGAAGTCACATACAGCTAGTATGTTTTGGGTTAGATATCCTTTGCGACCGTAATATGTGCCGGCATCACGGGCAGGCAACACGGCTTCTACTTGAGTATTGTCCAACGCTCCAATACAATGCTGCACCAATAACGTACAACACATGAGGTTTACGTTCATCACATAAAATGAAAAGTAACCGATAACGGCAACTTATATGCTAACCTTGAAAGGCATGTATTTCTCTCTGGATCGCAAATATGGATACCTATTATTTTGATCTCTGGTGGACTTACAACGCACTTCTGTGAACAACTTCATTGCTTCCAACACTGCATGGAAATGTCGCGACACAGTTTCTCCCGAGTGTTGGAATCGTTCCTGAAGTTTTCGGTTAGTGCAGCCGTTCAACGTATGGATGAACATCGCAACACTTTCTTCAATGTGTAATCCATGGGGTCTTGTAGGTACCCGTAAACCGAAGTCGCTTCGCAATGTGTCACACAACGCTTGAAACACATATAGCAGTATATGTAAACAAATTTTGTTCACCCTACCTACGTGGCCATCAAATAATTCTTGAATCCAGGCACGACCGGTCAAAATAGAAGTTTGGCATGGGATCTTCTCCATGTACTTCAGGTAGTATTTCATTGCATGCTGCGCAGCGTCACCGATTACGCTGTTTTGTAAGTCTTCTTCTTCCTCAGCAAGTTCGATGATTACATTATCGTAATTTCTACAGTTACTACTTTCACCTTTCCACATTATTTGTTGATGACTCCTACAATGCACGCAACACACGGATCAATTATCTAGTTGTAAACTAAGCACATTTGGACCATTAAAGTTCAACCATAAAAGTGGAACACATGAACTATCCATTACATTACATTCAACCATTAAAGTGAACTATGCCAAAAAGTAAAGGTTACACCATGATCCCATATTGCGCAAGACAAAAGTAGGTACCGTTCACAAAAGTAAAGTAACAATAAGTACAGCACTGTGCAACCACACAAAAAAACAAAACAACTAAAAAAAGAGACCCACATAACTAGTCCACAAAAACCACACTACATCAAAACCAAATAGGTCCCATTTTTGCGTGAAAGACCAAACCCAAGTACTCACAGGCCTTTTGAAGCCTGCAATGCCGCAAGCCAACCGACTACATTCTTATCATCCGGCATGCACATCAATATTTCCCAGTAATCTGCGTTCTCTAACGCAATGCAGGCGGAATGGAACAGGGGGGTACTGATGAAGTCCGGGATAGCCATAAGCCGCTGCATACATGGCTCAATGCCATACTTCTACGATGCACCAGTTCCGTGCCTGACCGTCAGGTGCTTATGTGTTTGAACCGCGTTAGACAGATGGTTAAAACTATCCGCAAGTACCTATGCTCCACTAGAGATCTTCTTCGACTTTCCACTAGTGCTACCTCAATTTTTCCTCTTTGTCCTGGGGTCTGCTTCTTCAAGGTGGATAGTGTGGAAGTTTGGAGGTAAATTAACGACAGGTCTGTATAGCTCGGTAAACGATGCCAACACAAGAGAGTCCACTGAGTCAGATTCACCTTCGCCAACATCCACAGCCTTCTCCCCCTGCGTCCAATGGTGTTTTCCAGTCGCAGTTGCACTGGTGAATACTTCGCGCATCAAACCTTCATCCAATGGTTTCGTCTTGAATTTGTAAGCGATCTTGTTTGTCTGCAAATGAAAAATCAAAGTACAATTTAAGTTCTCCATCACAGTGACATGGGACATTCAACGGACAAGTTACTTTTGCTAACATGTGTGTACAAAATTAAAGGGGCAAGTTTGACATAAGTTAAATGTAATTACTTTTTTATGTTGTACAGTGTTCAATTTGTAGTTATTTTGGATTGAAAGGGTTTGGAGTTAACGTAACATACATATGTGAAAAGTTTACGACAAATAATGAATAACAATTTAGTACAAGTTGTCTTTAAACTTAGAGGACTTATTACGTAAAATAAAATATATGTTCATGCATACTGATTTAAGATTGTCCCACCACTCTTCTGACGCTGTGAACAAACCAGTTTCCCTGTCAAACACCCTTACTGCTATCCATCAACTTGTTCCAAGCCTGCCATTCATTTTTCAAACTGTTGTACTTGTTTTTCAATTGTGTAATTTCATGACGTCTACCCGT